AAAGAAAACTTCAAGTGAGATGACTAAAAAGCCATCCATTAGCAGAAGCTCAACACCGATAAACAGCATGCCCCCTGACTCTGGCAGTACATTAACAATCTATAATACTATAAAATCATACCACCTAGCAGTCATTCTCCTTTTAGGATATCTTAAATGGCACTACTTGCCACCTACATGCTTTTGCAGTTGCAAGTATTGTATCAACTAATATACTATGTTTCAGCAAAATATAACCAATACCCTAAAATATGCCAAGGCAAATAAATGGGTTAAATCATTCCATAATTTATCAGACAAAACAGTGTAACATAATGTTAGAGGAGTCTCTACTTTAGCAAAGTCTACTAATTGGCAGTCTAACTGATAACATAGTTTTTCCAACCTGTGTGGCACCCCTATCTTCATCCTCCTCTGCTCTACTTGTAAAGCCTATACAAGATCTTAAACCTTCTCCTGCCACTACAAATCATTTCCTCATCAAAAGCTCTAAATTGTTCGGTCGATTGATGTCTCTAACACCTCGAAAAAACAAATCTTAAATCCTCTAAACATAATAAACTCAATTAATACTGGTTTCCTCACTTTTCAGGTTAAATTTCTACTAAGGCCACCTACTAATCAAACAAAGTTTGAACAGCAACAAGTAGTAATTTCTAGTTGATACATCTATTTTATTTTTATTTTTTTTATTTCACAAGTCTATATTCTAAGAAAATGGGGCAGAATTGTAGTTTATCTTGTAGCTTTCCCTTTTCTAGGGCATTTAATATTTGCTTGTTACATTCATAATACGGATAGGATCTTGATAGCTTCGAGGAGAAGAAGGCCCCAAGGAGAATTATTAAAGAAAGTTGAAGCCCATCTCAGAAATGTCAAGTGGCAGTTATAAAATATGATTCTTAGCAACACAATTTTCTTTTTTGTTAGTAAATAGAATTTTTTATAATGCATAGCGTATTATCTCAATCTTATATGCGGTTCCAAAACTGCTCTCAGATTACATTTTTCACAGGATTTTTCTCGAAGCATCCAAATGTAATCTACATTTTTTCTCACAAAAAATGACAGTTATAATCTAATATAATGACAAAATGCAAGTCAAAGCCAAGATTTGGTTAAATCAAAATAGAACTAAATAAACCAAATAAAATTTTGATTCGGTTCTATCAATGCCAGTTTCATCTTCTGGATAATCGATCTAAATTCAATTGATTAACAATTCCTTAAATCAACTGCTTATTCCCGCCAAATAAGCACCCTTAGAGAGTCACTATCTAATGCGAACAAACAAGAGTTGTTCACCTTAAAGATACAAGCTAAACAAAGGTTGATCAATGCCATCATCAACACTGACAACCAGATGAACATGATACTTGACAAACCAATATGTTGAGTTTGGAGATCATTCCCCATCCTAACCCTTAACCCCTGAGACGAACTTAAAAATGGTCAAAAATGAAGATGGATACTTAAGTACCGCATTAAGGTTGAAATCACTAGAGATTACAATGTTGAGATGGTTTGTGAGATTGTTCCACTTAACATCTACCTAACCATCGCACATACTTTCATGATAGTATGTGGTATTGCACATAGAACCTTATCATTATCAGCTCACAAAGGAAAGAAAGTTCTTACTGAGTAAATATAATGATGTTCCTGTGGCACTTGTTAATCTAGGCTAAAAATTTATGTCCACACTCAGGGGCGGAGCCAAGAGTTAATAATTATTTTATTATCAACACTGATGATGTCATAAAATATTATAACATGAAAATTCTTTAATATTTTAAGCCTAATATGCATAAGACATGAATTTATTAAAAATATATTTATTTATAATATTATTTAATAATTATTTCTTAAAATGTACAAGAAATATAAATTAATTCTTTTATTAATACTATAAAACACTAAGTGTGAGCTAAGAAAAAATTGGTCAAAATAGCCATGAATATGTGTGTGTATGTGTGTTTGCCGCCCGTGAAAAATGGAATTGTGGGAGTCGTCTCTAGCTTCAGGATTGGTTGAAAATGGGCTTCACAGCCCGTGGGGGTAGGTTATAGCTTCAAGGTTGGGCGGTTATAATTTTATAAAAAATATATTTAATTTTATTAAATTTAAGTCATTGCATGCAGAGGGCATGGGCCAAAGGGCATGGGCTCCCAGTGCCCCCATTATAGCTCTGCCCATGTCATTGCTAGTCCACCCTGTAGAAGAGGAAATGAGAAATCAAGTTCATACCTTGGGCAAAGAAAATGGCATGTAGATGCAAAAGTTGATTGAGAAAGGCATAAAACACATCTCTAACATTTCACTGCTAAATCTATCAACCTTATGAAAATTAAGACAACAAAGATTAATTCATCAAAGTTAGGAAGATTAAGGAGTGGTCAAAGTTGTGTATAGTTACACTATGATGTATTTTCAGCTATGAAAATCATTCAAAAGGATGAAAAGCATGTCTTCTAGGAAAATAATGGAACACAGTCTATCAGAAGTGGAGATATCTCCACTATTAAAGAAGCGGATGAAACAGCCACCTTTTCGCTTATTCAAACAAGAAAAGAATACCAAAAAACTAATGTCTAGTCAATTTTGATAAGTTTAAAAGAGGTTACATAATCATTTAAATAAGCCAAACCCAAAATAGTGCACCAAATTTATGATTTTGTAAATTTGGAGGAGGCTCATAAAAATGAAATTCTATACAAGCTCCATCAACATGAAGCTCTCAAAATTCAAATTTCAGAAGAAGCTTCTGAGATCTCCTAGAAAATCCCTAAAAGTTCACTACCAAATAAAGTGGTGCACTGTGGGTTGTTTGGTCACAGCAAAAAAGGCACTTGTAAGAGAAAAATTATGACAAATGTGAGCTTGCATTAGAATATTTTATCCCGCAACAACATTTGAAATACATTGACGCAAGCTGCAGTATATAATTTCAAATTGAAATTTTGTTGAAATGGTGTCTACACTTCATGTTAACCATTCAAAACTAGAACATCCTTATTATCTTATGTATTACTCTAGTTTGCATCGTGTCGCCAAGGGCAAAAAGTGCTAGGACAGAAAGCACAGAAGCGTGCACAGTTTGAAGTGGAAGCTCTACAGATTTTAGCATGCAGATAATTAGAATTTCAAACAGATATAATCTTTCATTTATACTATTTCTACTACTGCAACAAATAACATCACTGAAAAAATATGCCTTAAAAGACGACAAAAATGCTGCATAAAATTTGCATGCCAAATGTTTCATAATGCAATGAAAATGCAGGCAACTCAATAGCATATAAACTTTTATGTAAAATAAAAGGGAAATTTACATAAGTAGCATACAATTCTTCTGTATTTACATATCTCACACCTAAACTTTCATATTTACTCACATAGCACTTCGGTGCTTTTAAGGCCCCGTTTGGGGCAGCTTATAACCGCAAGCGGCTTTAAAACGCTGTCATCCCGTTTGTTTCATGTGTTCATGCTACTTAATGAGAAACGGCATTTAGATTTGTTTAATAAACGCGGCCGCGGAATTGACCCTGCAGCCCGCATTCGTTCACGTAATTTTACCGGCTGCCCACGACCTCGCATCTCTCGCATAACTCCCCACAGTGGAAGAGACTCCCCTCCAGCTAGAGCCTCCCTGCACCGGAGATCCCTACGATCTCTTCCTCCTGCTTCGGCTCTACTTTCGGCATGCGTAGGGCTTTTTCCATTCTGGATCTCACCCATTCGTTGGGATCATGATGAACTCAGCAAAAGACAGGATCGCGAACCGGATCTCCATCTTCTTCTATGAAACTCCCACAGTTGCTCACAACGACGACGATTCTTCCCCTGTTTGCCTTCCATCAATGCCTCAGGCACCCATGCCCAACCCATCCTTTTCATTCGGCTTTGTATTTGATGGTTCGTTGGTTTATTGTGTTTTTGTTTCTGGATTGATCGTTTGTATATGGATCAAGGATCTGCTATCTTTTCGATGATCCAAATTGCAGTAATATTTTATTTGGTTCAGAGAACTTTTTAAGGAAATTGTCAGGGATGGCAATGATGTTTTTATGTGGGAGATAGCCAGGCGATTTTGTGGTAGTAAGGGATTGGAGTTGTCTTCTTTCCAGCTATAAAGAATTTTTATTTCTAGATATTAAGGCAATTTGATCCTGTGTTGTATAATCCAAATAATAGCTATTATGATGAAATCAAAATTTAATGAGTAAAATGCAGAAGTTATCAACTTTGTACTCTTAAAAGCTACTCTCATGCACAAGCCAAATCCTTGAAATGAAAAGAATGAGTTTACTAGAACAACTGAATCGTCCCAATTAACAATCTATCTAAAAAGTGGTGTATATCCTTTTTTTACTGTTATGAAGTGGTTTTTTTCTTCTAAACTATCAAATATATAACTATGACAGTTTTGTTGCAAACAACACTACTGCACAGGGACAGAATGGTTATTTATCCAGAAATAACTGCAAATCAGTTTTTTTTCAAATGCACAAACCAAATAGTCAGTCAACTTAACCGGATCAGTTGCTGGTCAGAAACCTATCTGGATCAGTTGTTTATCAGCAGATTGTTGATAAGCTGCAGCTGCCCCAAACATACCCTACTTCTATGCAAGAAAAGGTGTATTTCACATTTTAAAAATGATAATAGTGTTATTTTTTATGTGAGTTCAAAGATTTGAGTGTTATGTGTGTAAATACAGTTAAGGTGTGAGGATGTAAATAAATAAGAATTGTAAGCTATGTATGTAATGTCCCAAAAGAAAATAGAGGGAGAGCGGCTCCCTAATGATACTTGAAACTCCAGATACTTTTGATTGAAAGAAAGAAACTCTATTGTGACTCTAGGATAAATAGCTTTACCACCACATGGAAGCTTTCCAACTTCAAACTTGTGACAATTATGCCAAGACAATGCAACCAGTTTGTCTAGGTCAAGTCTCAAGTTGGACCTATAAAAGCTTAAAAACATGAACAAACCTTAAGTCGCTCATGGGCTTCACCAACTGCTCTGCCATTCTTCTTTTTCCTCCACATATGACCGTCTTTCCTGAAAAATCTATGAATCCTACGGTTGAAAAGAAACAAAGAGCCACCTGTTGAAAAAAAATAATAGTGGCAACATTTAGCTCTTTGCTACTAGTAGAAAGCCTTAGGACTACAAGACTGGAAAAAAGGTCCATATACAGAACAAAAATATTACTTGGTGGTTTTTCAGGAGTTTCTGGTTCAATTGGGTATCTCTCATGGTTTTTTAATATAAAATAAACTTCCGAAGGCTTCAGCCATCGGATCTGAGCTTCCTGGAGTAGTTTGCCATAGTCAAAACTTGAGCCTATTACAGAAGAAAAAAAGTCAAGACAAATTCAATAAAGTACTCCTGTAGGACATCATCAAACATGTTAATCAACAAAGAATTTTGAAGCATGAGATTTAACCTTAACAACAAAAAGATGACAAATAACAAAGCTCATTTCTATCAGATTATATTGATCAACCAAAATAAATGACTAAAAAAATTTGAAGCATGAGAATAAATCTTACTCCAAACATACAATACAGAGTAGTAGGACAAAGATTGAAGAGCTTAAAGCAGAAAAAAGGTGGAAAAGTAGGAATATGTCGGTGCCACTTGATGTAAAATACAGAAGCAGAGTCCTTTCTCTGAAACTTACTAAATTAAGGTCTAAGGCGGCCTATTTTAAACAAGGCAAAGACGTAACAATAATCTAGCAATTGGGTTTTATGAAGGAAAGCTGAAAATTCTAGAGATCAAAGAAAAACATATTTATGAAATACTTGGCAATCCAAAAGCATATCATCCAATCAAAAAAGGCTATCACGAAATAGAAATAAACAAACTAAATCCTAGCTACATTAATACATCAATGAAAAAATTGGTGGGATAAATGCATGCTCCAAGTATCACAAATGTCTAAGATCTTATTTTCATGCACCTTTTAAAAATGTCAAAAGCATGTCATACATTTAACATTTGAAACACAAAATTTAAATTAAGTTTGAGGGAAACAGATGCTTTATCTTCTCAAGAGAATCGTTATCCACCACAAGGAGTCGCATAACTAAAACTTGGTTGAAGTGATTTTAGTGATCATTACAATACGATTGTTTTTAAGCTTCTGGATTTCAAAGCAACAAAATCAAAGGTTGAAACAACTGAAGATGTTCACAGCTTATTAAACTACAGCATGCAAAATTAACGCTTCTGATCATTCAATTAAGGATTAGATGACTCAAATCATTCAAAATGAATGCGCTGATATTATGCAAGTGACTTTATAAAATTATAGTCAAAATATCCAAAAAAAAACAAAGAGGGACACACAAACTCAAGTGGAGTGTCTTTCTTAAAAAGTATATTGACGATCATTCATCGTAATGAATGATAGATAAATGGCACGAATGCAAATTTCAGCAGGTGAAGCAGAATTAAAGGCACTTGTCCTGCATTTGGATGCCCTTAGTTGAAATGGATTCTATCAGGCGTTAAATTTGTGGAGCCAAATTAATTCCCTTAAAAAAAGTCTTACTTAAATTCGTCCATTGGATGAATTGCCACAGCGCATCCCAGGACTTGAAATTAGCCAAAGCGGGAACGAACGGTCAAACAATATGAATTAAATTTACTATATTCAGATACTATTTCACAGATGAAAAAATAGTAATCCAATTAAATTAAACAATTATATTTAGCTTTACCTCATTACTATTTGTCTGCGTCTTGTATACACATTTTCTCTTCTATCATTCATACTTTAATTAATTAAATTAATATGAAAAGTTAGTTTTAAAAATAACAGTGAGCTAACCAAGCCATTGAATACTCAAACTCATAAACTACAATAATACAAAGGAAAAAAAAATAATATGTTGTCAGTTAAACTTTTTAATAAATTAATATAAATATTTGATGTTATTCAAGTAATCTTACTATATCAATAGTATATCAATATCATTTCATATACATACAACCGTCACAGGAGTAATGTCTAAAATTTTGTACCAATTGAGATACTTTAATATCATTATCATTTTTCATTTACGTGCACGGGTACATTAGTGTTCCCCGCTAGTATCATCAATGAGTGACTCTATCATATTCAGTCATGCATATACAAGCAATCTATGCAAATTATATCATCTATTATTTCATATCACTCAACATATAATACTATAATGCATTAATTATTTCATATTATGAGATTATAAGCATTCGCATCGAAATGACCAATAAAATTTAAAAATAGAACAATCAATTGCATTAATCAAGCATAATTAATAACCCATAAAACTTGTTTATAAGAGATATCAAAATGATGTTTTAATTTAAGAATAGGATTACTCACCTCAATGATGTTTAATTTGATAAGATTTGTTCTGACTTTTAAAAGTTGTAACCTATTATAAACATGATATTAAATTTAATTTATTTATTATTTTAAGTAAACAGTTAACTTTTTATTATTATTTAAGTATTTAATTTTTATTGTTTTACTTTATGTAATCTTGCTGATTTTTCTATTCAATATATATATATTCTAGAAAGAGCAGCTCGTGGCTCCTTACGTGTTAATTTAAAAAAAAATGATTACAAAGTTTTTGGGAAAATCAGGATCCCCTCTAGAAAATAAAAAACAGAAGATCCTAGGGGTTCCGTTTTCCTCATTACAACTCCACCCAAAAAGGATAAAAACTGTATCCAAAAGAAGAAAAGCCTAAAAATACATGTATCAAACCAAAACGTATACCCAAATGAATGACGTATACCCAAAATGTACATGTATAAGAAAAGCAGCAAGGTAAGAAACTTGTAAGCCGAAGAGCGACTTCACGAGGGCAGCAATCCGGCGAAGTAACCTCCAAAGACCTGCAACTCAGAAGGGCTAAAACATAAAGACATTGGTTAGTGTAAATGGGAAGAAAGATCATAGCGGTCCAAGTTCCTCAAAAAATCCAAACAGCAAAAACAGACAACCCGAGGCAAGAGAAGCACCTCGCAAATCTACCACCAAAATACAGCAACATGAGCCAGTACAGCCCACCCAAACAAAAATATTGGCAAAGGATTTTGGAGCCGTAGGCCTCCAAATATAAGAGATACTGTCCCTTAAAAATATCCAGCCTCCAAACCCCCAATAAAACCATCAAAGCAAACCGAAAATAGTGTCTCCCATACTCCATACCCCTCATAACAATCATCCCAAAACACCTCTCAACCAAAGCAAAGGAGCCCTGGGCCTCCTCGCACATCGAAATACACCAAGAGAGGTATCTGTAAATGAGCTTCCAAAAAGGGAGCCATGGGCCTCCCTTATATACCCGAGAATAAATGGTGAAGGTATCCTGGATCACCTTGCACCAATTAAAGTATAACAGAGTAGTATAGTTGTCCATAAACCGCAAAATCCAAGTCTCGAAAGTGCACAAGAAAAAGAAAAGGGTAGAGGAAATAGGAAGGGTCCAGCACAAAATCACGGCCACCCAATGAAACTTAAAAAGAAGCAACCCTGTGAATATAAGGAGCATCAATATTATCACCAACCAAGAGAGTATGTAAAGGAGGAGGGGAAGTAGATCCCACTCTACAAATTTGAGTAGAACTTCTTAATTTAGCGAGCCAATTAGCGGGTTGATTGTCTTCCTGGTAATTGAAACTCCAAATAACATTCACATTGGATAGTAACCCTTTAATCCTCCTAATATGATAAAGAATATCCCAAGGGGCATCGACATGATTATCTAAAATGTCAATTAAGGTACGATTATCACATTCAAAAATGATATTCCTCCAACTTAAATAGTGAGCCAAAATAGCACCGTATAAAATAGCCCGAGCTTCAACCTCTATAGGAGAATCCGCATTAGAAAGAGAGGAGAAAAAAAGAATGCAGTCCCCCACATAATTCCTAACAATGCCCCCACAACCAACTTCAGAGACATTCCAACTTCTATCAGTATTTTAAACGGTGCTATTTTTACAAATACACAAATTTAAGTAAGACTTTTTTTAAGCAGTTCTTTTAAAAAGAATGCAATCCCTCCTAATATATATATATATATATATATATATATATATTTTTTCTTTTTTTGAGAAAGCCCAAGGGCTAATATATTAAAAGAAAAGAAAGATACAGATAGATTGTATGAGAGGGCCCAAGCATTGCACCCTACCCACACGGTAAACGCCACATGCAAATAGTTCCAGAAAAAAATACAGAAAAATACATGAGAGCCCAAAAATCAAAAGTGTCAAAACACATAATATCAGGTAGCTAGAGAGCGACGCAATTTTACCCTGTCTTTGCCTCTAGTTCTAGGTAAAGAGACAGCTAACAAAATGGCAAGATGAGTGTCATTTCCAGTGGTAACTAATGCATCATCCAATAAGTTCCTGAGCTCGAGTCGGCCTCCACTCTTCTTCTTCCTCCTGAAATAGACCTGTCACTCTTCATCTGAAGACTGGCTCATCTGATCAGTGGATTGGTCTAAAGTGTGTCAGACATGTGTAGGTTGTTGAACATTGGAGCATCTACTTGTTGTATCAGCTGATCTTTTATTGGATCAAAGGAACTCTGGTGTGTCTTGGCATGTGAGTCTTCTTCAATAACAATGAGTGATATGAACGCGTTTGGATCAGTAGTAGTAGTATGGGGAGATGTTTCATGAGACTCCAGAGTACCATGCTCAAATCCAGTAGCTGGAATAGAGTGTTCAAAAGCAGGAGCAACCAGGGGTAGAACGGCTTGGAAATGATATTCTTCATCTGAGACAACAAAGGTTTGAATAGGAGGGTCGTAGAAAAATTTCCCATCAGGAACAGCGTTAGTCAGATGAGCAGAAATACATGTGGTTGCACCTTCTCAGCAGGGATGGCAGGTGGCAAGACGTCCACCCCCAATTCAGTATAAATAGATTTTTGAACAGGTTGTTGATCTTTAGCAATATCCAGTCTTAGATGAGGATGCAAGCGATAGCAAATAGTAGAATTGTGGTCAAGCACACTACAACGAGAGCAATAAGGAGGGTGTGGTTCTATCTCAACATTTTGCCAATACCTGTTGTGAGTGGATCCAGTCCATACTTCATCCGGCGCTGATTGAGTGATATCTTTCTCAAGTAACACAAAAACCACAGAGGGTATGGTGACAGCAAACGTGGGATTATCAACCTTGAGAGACTTACCGTAAGCAGTTTCTAAAGAGTAGAGAATTTTCAAATTGAACAGGTGTAATTTTAACCCCAAAAATTTTATCCAAACAGGAAGGATAGGGGACTCCGCTTTTGGATCAAAGTCGACAGTCCAATTCAGAATTT